AGACAACTTAAGTAACTTTTGTACAACTGAGAAGTGACAACTTAAGTACCTTTTGTACAACTGAGCAGCTGAGAAGTGACAACTTATATAACTTTTGTACGCTGAGAAGTGACAACTTTGCTAACTTTTGTATAACTGAGAAGAGACAACTTAAGTAACTTTTGTACAACTGAGAAGTGACAAGTTAAGTGACTTTTGTACAGCTGTGAAGTGACAACTTAAGTAACTTTTGTACAGCTGAGAAGTGACAACTCAACTAACTTTTGTACAGCTGAGAAATGACAACTTGGTAACTTTTGTACAACTGAGAAGAGACAACTTAAGTAACTTTTGTACAACTGAGAAGTGACAACTTAAGTAACTTTTGTACACATTAGAAACTTACTTTTGCCCTATTGAGAAGCGTTGCTTAAGCATTGGCCAAGTTGCTATCTTGTCGCTGCCAAGCCTTTAGGATACTGGCTTGGAGAGCTCGACCGAAGGCTTGCGTCCTGGGTATCTGTTGATGGCATTTAGATTTTCTGTGGCACATACTTCTGACTGTCCACCAGATAAGAAGGTGATAGCTGAAGTCAAACACAACACCAATTAAATATTGAATATCTCTTGTTTCTCTGCTTTGACACATTCTGAAATTAGAAACTAATTTGAAAGTTATCTATGAAGTTATTACAATTACACATGTAATCCACAGATGGAAATCTCTCCTAACTGTTCAATGTGAAGCTGATATATTTTTCTTTAATAAACCATAGAGAACCATTATGTCACAACAAGGGACATTATCCAGATATCACAAGGGGAAATTATCATACCATATCATACAAGAAATTCCCATCAAAGGGAGATAATGTGTCCAAAAAACAGGGAGATCTTAAGTATGTCCCAATAAGGGCGGAATATACCCAAAGAAGGAGAGATTATAAGCATGTCTGAAATGAAAAACAACCAAACAAGAGGAAGCAAATGAGTTTACCTGGAACAGCATCAGACAAAGTGCGACTGAGTGCTTGGACAGTGGCATGAGCATTATCATCAGCCATGTACTTCTTTGGACATGACTGACCAGCGGTCACCATGTTTGGTTTTGAAAAAGTTCCTTCCAGGTAAACATGGTGGTCAGCTAAGGCCTTGTATGTGAAAGCAAGAACCTGAAAAAGATAAAAAAGTTTAAATATGTATCCATTAATAGTCTGGTGTTACCTGTATCCATGAATAGTCTGGTGTTACCTGTATCAATGAAAAGTCTGGTGTTACCTGTATCAATGAATAGTCTGGTGTTACCTGTATCAATGAATAGTCTGGTGTTACCTGTATCAATGAAGTCTAGTGTTACGTGTATCCATGAATGGTCTATGATGGTCTGGTGTTACCTGTAGTCTGGGTGTTACCTGTATCAATGAACTGGTGTTACCTGTGTTACCTGTATCAATGAATATGATAGTCTGGTGTTACCTGTATCAATGAATATGATAGTCTAGTGTATGTATCCATGAATAGTCTGGTGTTACCTGTATCAATGAATAGTCTGGTGTTACCTGTATCCATGAATAGTCTGGTGTTACCTGTATCAATGAATATGATAGTCTGGTGTTACCTGTATCAATGAATAGTCTGGTGTTACCTGTATCAGTGAATATGATAGTCTGGTGTTACCTGTATCCATGAATATGATAGTCTGGTGTTACCTGTATCCATGAATAGTCTGGTGTTACCTGTATCAATGAATAGTCTGGTGTTACCTGTATCCATGAATATGATAGTCTGGTGTTACCTGTATCAATGAATATGATAGTCTAGTGTTACCTGTATCAATGAATAGGATATAAAAGCTTTCACATAATTGCAGGTTGGAGAAAAGAGATTATTGCAATTGACAAAACAAACTCATTTATTACAAATATGCCAACAGCTAGGGTGAGCCCAAAGTGTTAACTGTAAGCTATGATTTAAAATGAACATACATGTTGATGACCAAGACTGATCATGCTTACAAAATGTTGTAACATTTAATTACACTGTAAAGAGATGTACCTATAACATCACATTGATACACTCAGAACACCTTGGCCTGATTCCAGTATCTTCAGTGAAACATGTAGGCTGAGTTTGGTACAATGAAATTGCCGCTTGGCTTGTTCCAGTGCATCATGATATAACTAAGTGAACATGATTGATATCAGAATCTTTTAAAAAGACTTCCATCAGATTTCCTGTTGATATATAGCTAAAAGCTAGATTCCATTTCAGACTTTGGTTTTTTTTGCCATAATAACAGTGAAATCTATTAGTATTAGCCTAACTTCTGTTCATAAAATAAATCCATGTGACATTTATATAATTTTTTGCAGTTTACTCCATTCTTTTGATGGTACATGATGTATTTATACAACCAATGTTTCTACAAGACAAACATTCCGTGTTATCAACATAGCATTTGCTGATGATTTTACGGAAAAGTAATTATTTTAAGTGCCGATTTGAAAATACTGAAATGTGGTAAATATGATATGAAATGAAGTTACACTGTAGCCGAACTGGACGGGGTCGATCAGTCAGCTCAGTAGGTAGAGCATCCGTCTAGAGTTCGGAAGGTTCAAACTCTGGTCTGGCTGTGCATTTTTCCACTCTTGTTACATTTGGTGCCGTAACGGAACCTTGTTTCAAGCAGTACGTGAATGTTTAACAAGGGGATACCCAAACCTGGGTTGTTAGATGTGATGTCTTTGGGGCAAATACTAAAATTAAGGAGAGAGGAATGTAACGGAACAGAATGGGGTCGATTGCCGATGAACAATTAGCTCAGTAGCCTGTAGAGCATCAGTCTAGAGTTTGGAAGGTCTCGGGTTAGAATTTCGGTCTGGTCGCGCATTTTTCTGCTCCTGTTACAGTACTGTATAGGCTCTATATAAACAATATGTCTGTGGTCCATGTTATACTATGATACATACAGTTCCTTCTGTATCAACCAAAGGTGCTTATTAGTGCAATAATTGGTCGACGATCGATTACGATCTAATGTGTAACCCTGGTAAAACACTGGCCGCATTATACCACTCGGCTAGAGAGAGCTTCTCTTTAGCTCAATTGGTCGGAAGCATTGAAATAAATAATGACCATTCTTCCATTGGCGCCCACATAGAGACCTGGAAATAGAACTTAGCCATGCCCCACCAGCATCGCTGTAATCCCTGGAAACTCAAGGACATGTTATATCTTGAAGGGAGAGTATGTAACACTGGTAAAATACTAGCTGCAATATACTACTCCGATAGAGAGAACTTCTCTTTAGCTTGATAGGTTGAGCATCAGACTAGTAAGTAGTTCCTTGTGGAGGCATTGATATAAATAATGACCTCTGTTACACGTGTTTGACTGTAACAATGTGCAAATATTGATGTTTTAATTAGTGACACTGTTTAACTATATTTTAATTAATTGAATTGTTGCGCTGCGTTCGTTGTACTGTTATGTAATACTGTGTTGCGTGCGGCCACTGTTCCGTCTACCTGTACCGTCCTTGTGTGTGTTCGATGTCACGTGTCTTACTTTGTGTTGTCCATATATGGGTATTATTCCTAATATAGGTATTACTTCGTTTTGGGTCAGTGGTCAGTCCGGTTGTCTTTGTCTATGTTTGGCGCGGTTTTTTATTAGTCCTTTGTGTGCAGACCTAGAGGGCGGACGTATAGTAGATCTAGACCTGTGTCCGCAAGATTTGAATCTTGTGTCTTGTAATTTGTTCTCTAGATATTTGGTATGTACGATAAAGTCTCAGTCTAGCTGCTCTCGTAATTGGGTTTTGTAAATTATTGATTCATTTTATAATTGAGGGTTCAGATGAAATAAAGTTAATTAATGTGTGAAACGGTGCTTTTCATAAAGTGACGTAATTGTGATCTCATGTACGTATATATGGATTGAAGTTATTTAAAATAACAGGTGAAATATACCTTTACGTGTATTTTACAGATTGATGTAAGATCTACAATTAGTCCACGCACAGACCTTTTTTTTTCTGTCTGGCAAACACCCGACCCATAGTTGGGGTAGGTATTTTAATAGATATTATATGTAGAATACGAGAGCTTGTGTAATTGATAATGTCAGTTATATTATTAGTAATTATGTAATAATGTAAGTTGTAAGCAGTTTCCTGTAGACCACGGTCTACTTATATATACTAATAAGCGTAAAGCTGAGGCCTATTGATATTCCTATTTAGAATAAAGTATTAAGTGTGAATGTATTAAATATGTATTTACTGGATGTACATCATGTTATGAATGTAGACAACGTTTCATTATGTAATTGATTGTATTATGTCTTTGTAGGGTTTTAATTGTATTCTGTACAACATAGAATAAATGGAATAAGTCAGCACAGTACACGTCGTTGTTCTTTAAAAACTTGACAACTTTACATTATTATGCTGTTGTTATATTTACCTTATTTACATAGCAATAACAAGAGTTGTTTCAGGACAGATGTCGAATGATGGACCAGAGACACAAGGCAACTTAATTTGATCACCATCATCTGATGATGGGATTAAAACAGTCGGAAAGAGTTATTTTGATGTTTGTCATTTAAAGTTTGTTACTGTCATTTCTGTGGAACTTCTAGAGATTTCCCTTGAAGTACAGTTAACATACCAGTGTTCTAGTCTTGAATGGCATATTTTGATTAGTATTAATGGCTCCCTCTTTGACCTAAGTCTTGTAAAATTGTTACCCCTAGTTCTTAAGTACTACTGCATGGATCTCCATTAAACAGTAGGAACATGTGAAATATTTGTCTTTGTTGTTCAAGCCATACTTTCCTTAAGTATTGGTCTTTGTGTTTGCCATATTTGGGGCCTAATTCTATATGCAAGACAACCACCGTTTTGAATTACAATATTCGAAGTTCTTACAGCTATCTCCTCCTTATATCAAGCACTTCTGTATGAATATGTAAAAGCCTCATATAGTCTATACAGGAAAATATGACAAAAAATATTTGTAATTGAAATTTGACCGAGGACACCTCAGCTGTGTTTTATTGCCAGTTTTGGGGGTACACACACATATATATATACATATACCAAATAATACAACCTCACATATTCTCAAACTTGCATCAAGCACAATGAATAAATCATTTTTCAAGGTCATGACCTAAAAATTAAACCAATGATGCTGAACATGATTCCAATCTATTTAATGCCTGGAGAAAAAGAGAGAGTTGACATCTTGGGCAAGCATGAAAAAAACCCCAAAAAACAGCATCATACGTATTTTGCATGTAATCTTTTGAATTTTTGAAGATTAAGAATACATACCACTAAACCCAATGAGACAGATTTACATCAAGAAAATATTCAAATCAAATTAGTACTGAAATGTTGCTTCTTGATAAATGAAATATTCTCAGGTTTGGTTTATTGTTGCTTTATGACCTATTCAGTTTGCCAAGTTTTTGAGAAACTCGAAACCTTGGAACATACGAGACAGAAGTGGACAGCTAGTGATAGAGACTGTCAGATACTTTCACTACTCCGCTTTCAAGGCCCTGTGGCCTTGTGTCTAATGAAAAGATATTATGTTTATACCTTAGCCTACTTAATTGTACGTATATGAGATTGGTCAATATTGAATTATAAATAACTCCTGAAAATTCAATTTACAAATTTACATAAACATTTGAAGGTCATGACCTTGAAACAGATGCATATTCATATTAAGCATATACATATTTGTTACAGTAACTCAGTAAACGATGTACTCTGACAACACAAAAAACTATTAGCAATTCTGGATGATAATTTACATATATGTCAGTAGACCACCTACACACTTCACACTTCCATCCTTAGAATCGGGTCAGAAACACTAGACATTTACAACTGATAATGTTAAGCCTCTTTATTACTCAATATCGTGCAAATAAAATGTCATGAACTAATTATAAAAAATTTCCAATGCATTTTAACTAAAATTTTAATCTAGATGTCTCTGTCTTTGACACCTCACTCCTCTGTAAAAGAGGGTTAGCAGATGAGTGTCAGTTCACTGCTGTTTCACAGTTGTTTCAGCAGTTCTTACAAAAATTTCTACCTTATTATCAAAACGACTTCAATTTTAATCTTGACAGATTTCTTCAAATTCATCATTTGATAGCAAAGCCAACATGATCATTTGAAGCTATGGACTTCTTAAAAAATGTGTTTTTTTCTTTAATGTACTGCATCATACTTATCAAAATCATTTTTTTCTCCAAAATCTTGTTCTATGCCGAAGATAAAAATAAGTTTTATTCCAATAAGAATTTGAAATGCCACTATTATCATTATGTTTTTGGTAAAACAAAATTTTGAATCAGTATTTATGTTACATCATAAATAATGATGTATAACAATAATATCTCATTAATTTTGAAACAATAATTTCAAAAACATTTTCCCCCCAAGAATCAAAATGATGATCTAAACATTAAATATGTGGAGTATATTTTTGAATGATGTTGAAAAAGAAAGGAAAAAAGCAGCAACTGTACACTTAATTATTTGTAGTAATGCCAAATGATTATGAAATAAATCCATTTAAGCTTTGAGTGAGGAACTCCTATAAAGAGAGAAAAAAAGGCCATAACGTTGTATAGCTAGCATATCTCCTAAATTGATACCAAAATCTCTTATGTTAATCCTTAGTGAAGCTATTATGTTTTTCATCTTAAATTTTTAAACTAGAACCTTGTAGGGCCTTGTATTGCTCACCTAGCAAATTTGATTTTCTTAACCAAAGAATGCTTCAGACTAAATTTGATCATAATCCAATCATTCCTTCTGGAGGAGTAGGATTTTAAAGAATATACTCTATTTCCCCCCTGCCCCAGGTGGCTGAGACACATGGTTTAAATTAACTTTATTCAACTACACCTAAGAATGCTTCAGACCAAATCTTGGCAAAAACCATTCTTACAAGAGGTGTAGGAATTTGAGGAATTTACGCTATTTCTCCTATTAGGCCCACCTCTCCGGCCCCAAGGGGATAAGACCTAAGATTAATACAAGACTGATTTTCCTTCACCCTAGAATGCTTTAGATAAATTTGCAATAAGTCCATTAATTAGTACTTGAGGTGTATATGAGAGGACCTGCTCCTCAGTCCCCTTGGAGCTGTGAACCAATATTTATACTTACTTGGTTCCCATTCCCCAAGGATGCTTCAGACCAAATTTGGTCAGTTGTTCAGGACTAGAATTTTTTTCAGTAAAAAATTGATGGAGGAACGAAGTTCACTGCACTGTAGTCCTTCGGACCAAGTGAGCAAATACAATTGTTAACCATTTTCAAATGCCAGATCTTGAGATGTAGAGCACATTTAAGGAACACAAATGTGTCTGGTTGGCCAGTCACAACATCTCAGGAAGACATCTGTTACTAAGGGCCACACATATCAAGTCAGGAATAGACAGGATACTGGTAGGGTCAGTAACATCACTTCAGTTAGAGATCTGTAACTGGTGGGGCCAGTAACATCACTTCAGTTAGAGAACTGTAACTGATGGGGCCAGAAACGTCACTTCAGTAAGAGATCTATAACTGGTGGGGCCAGTAACATCACTTCAGTTAGAGAACTGTAACTGATGGGGCCAGAAACGTCACTTCAGTAAGAGATCTATAACTGGTGGGGCCAGTAACATCACTTCAGTTAGAGAACTGTAACTGATGGGGCCAGAAACGTCACTTCAGTAAGAGATCTATAACTGGTGGGGCCAGTAACATCACTTCAGTAAGAGATCTATAACTGGTGGGGCCAGTAACATCACTTCAGTAAGAGATCTATAACTGATGGGGCCAGAAACGTCACTTCAGTAAGAGATCTATAACTGGTGGGGCCAGTAACATCACTTCAGTAAGAGATCTATAACTGGTGGGGCCAGTAACATCACTTCAGAAAGAGATCTATAACTGGTGGGGCCAGTAACATCACTTCAGTAAGAGATCTGTAACTGATGGGGCCAGTAACATCACTTCAGTAAGAGATCTGTAACCAGTGGGGCCAGTAACATCACTTCAGTAAGAGATCTATAACTAGTGGACCAGTAACGTCACTTCAGTAAGAGATCTATAACTAGTGGGGCCAGTAACATCACTTCAGTAAGAGATCTGTAACCAGTGGGGCCAGTAACATCACTTCAGAAAGAGATCTATAACTAGTGGACCAGTAACATCACTTCAGTAAGAGATCTATAACTGGTGGGGCCAGTAACATCACTTCAGTAAGAGATCTATAACTGGTGGACCAGTAACATCACTTCAGTAAGAGATCTATAACTGGTGGGGCCAGTAACATCACTTCAGTAAGAGATCTATAACTGGTGGGGCCAGTAACATCACTTCAGTAAGAGATCTATAACTGGTGGGGCCAGTAACATCACTTCAGTAAGAGATCTGTAACTGGTGGGACCAGTAACATCACTCCAGTAAGAGATCTATAACTGGTGGGGCCAGTAACATCACTTCAGTAAGAGATTTGTTATTGGTGGGGCCAGTAACATCACTCCAGTAGGAGATTTGTTATTGGTGGGCCCAGTGGTGATCTAGAGATCTGTAATATTATATTAACACAAATATTTTCACACATACTACAACATAATTGCATATCAAATGCCCATAGGTGTTTAATACTCATACCCTTCAGCAAGTTAACACATTGTACTTAGCATGTAAGCAAGTAATACCGGTATGTTACTACTATAATCATAGACAACTTAACTATAAATAACTCAATATTAGGTCCTAGCTTGGTACAGGAAACACATCCTATATAAATGGTTTACATCAGACTATTTCCTAATCAACATATCAAATATTTCCTTTTTAAAGATCTAATTCATCTAAAAGTGGTTTTTTTTTTTTTTTGAAAAATTGAAAGATATGATAAAAAGATCTATAAAAGATCTCTTTCTCTGATATGATGTTACATACATGCTTGTTAGTATCAGTTTCTAAAATCTGACACCTGAACGATTTAGATGGAGAATGATAAGAAGCAGTAGGCAGCTTAGAGTAGAGGTAAAAGTTAAAACAATAAGGGACTCAAGTGTTTTAAATAAAACGTACTTAAATAAAATGTCCATCTGTCGATGAATATAAGGACAAGAACTGGCTATGAGTGTTTGATTTACACAATCATTGTTTCAGGGATACTGACTCCTCAGTCACAATCAACTTGTGAATGTTCCAATATATCTGTATGCTATGATAGGGCCAGAACGTGTTAGCCTCTGTCAAATCATTTCCTTTGCACAACAGGGCTAAAATTGGTGGACTCCACAATGAATAGTGTAAGAATGAGCCTCTTATCACAGAGGAAGAGTAATTTCCCATGACCTATCTAGTACAGGCCACGTAAATTACACATTATACAAGTCACAGTCAATCACAGGGTCAGGGTCAAAGTTAAAAAAATATCACATATGACATCTTCAGTGCGCCTTCATTAGCCTTCACTCTCACAACAGCTTTTCTTCCTCAGTTGCCAAAGGTTTCAAGATTTCAAAGATGATTTCAAGTGTAGTGTTCATCTCTCATTCAAAAGAATGAAATACAGACACGCTTCAAAAAGCTCATCACACCTGCTTTTACGTGAAAAATAAAATTAATTTGCCTTCATGGGCAAAGAAAAGGAGTGCTTAAAGCAAAAGGTTAACACGTTTACTTTACACAGGAACAAAATATATGTATATCAAGACCTTTTGAACACATCATGACAACTCCATGTCACGCACTTGTCTTTTCAGAAAGATATATCACAGTGATACCTAAAATGGTCCAAAATACCAAATATGGTACATGGTGACCTAAAACGTGGCATACAATACCAAATATGGTGTTGAGTTGGGACTTGTGCACAATGAAATGAAGTCTATTGGATTAAATTAATTATATGACATAATTAATTGTTGTTCTAGGTAAATTCATTGCACAAACTATGAACCATGGAAGCAGACTATTTGTGCTAATGCTGTTTTTGACAAAAAAAAACAGCACTAAGTCATGACCTTTGGTGCTCAGAGTCAAAACAGCCAAACTCAACTGGCTTCAGTGTCCCTCACTGATATTTCCTTTGTATCACAAACTCGCTGTCTGTCCAGCACAGCTGTGTTTAATACCCCAACAAGAGGTCAAGTACTGACCTCTTGGGGAGGTCAGAGGTCACAATAGATGAATAGGGTCAGTAAATGTCGGGACACATGCTCCAGTCCTGCTTTTCTTTACAGTCCCAGTACTTCCTGTTATAAGTGTGGATCAAACTTCCTGTTGCTTCGTCCTTTTTCTTTTCAAACCAAACAGGTTTATGTACTTCTGGTTCCTCACCTACCAGATAAACATCAAAATTAATAATAGCATAAATCATACTCCTCACCTACCAGGTAAACATCCTAATTAATAATAATCATACTCCTCACCTACCAGGTAAACATCCTAATTAATAATAATCATACTCCTCACCTACCAGGTAAACATCCTAATTAATAATAGTCATACTTCTCACCTACCAGGTAAACATCCTAATTAATAATAGTCATACTTCTCACCTACCAGGTAAACATCCTAATAAATAATAATAGTCATATAATTAATAATAGTCATTCTCACCTACCAGGTAAACATCCTAATTAATAATAGTCATACTTCTCACCTACCAGGTAAACATCCTAATAAATAATAGTCATATTCCTCACCTACCAGGTAAACATCCTAATTAATAATAGTCATACTTCTCACCTACCAGGTAAACATCCTAATTAATAATAGTCATACTTCTCACCTACCAGGTAAACATCCTAATTAATAATAGTCATACTCCTCACCTACCAGGTAAACATCCTAATTAATAATAGTACTTCTCACCTACCAGGTAATCCTAATAAATAATAGTCATACTTCTCTACCAGGTAAACATCCTCACCTACCAGGTAAACATCCTAATAAATAATAGTCCTATTCCTCACCTACCAGGTAAACATTCTAGTTAATAATAGTCATATTCCTCACCTACCAGGTAAACATCCTAATTAATAATAGTCATACTTCTCACCTACCAGGTAAACATCCTAATTAATAATAGTCATATTCCTCACCTACCAGGTAAACATCCTCATAAATAATAGTCATATTCCTCACCTACCAGGTAAACATCCTAATTAATAATAGTCATACTTCTCACCTACCAGGTAAACATCCTAATTAATAATAGTCATATTCCTCACCTACCAGGTAAACATCCTCATAAATAATAGTCCTACCAGGTAAACATCATCATTAATAATAATCATACTCCTTACCTACCAGGTAAACATCCTAATTAATAATAGCATAAATCATACTCCTTACCTACCAGGTAAACATCCTCATAAATAATAGTCATACTCCTCACCTACCAGGTAAACATCCTAATTAATAATAGTCATACTCCTCACCTACCAGGTAAACATTCTAATTAATAATAGTCATACTTCTCACCTACCAGGTAAACATCCTAACTAATAACAATCTTACTCCTCACCTACCAGGTAAACATCCTAATTAATAATAATCATACTCCACACCTACCAGGTAAACATCCTAATTAATAATAGGATGTATGATTTCTAGGAGAATACAGTTATTAAATCAACATAACCTTCAATAACCAAGAAAATCTTCTTTTCCCATTTCAAATTTCCTAGACCCCTACAACTTTATAATTTGAATGACCTACCTCTTTTTAGAGCTTCTTCAGCCTCTGCTTCACGTCGTTTACGTGTTGCTCTCTGTTTCTCCTCAAGTCTCAATTTGCACTTATTTGCTTCATCCCAGTTTCCATCTTCCATGAGTCGCTGATCTGGGCGTCGGCGACAATCCGTGGGTGCTACACCATCCTCAAACTCGTTCAGTTCAATGGCCAGGCGTGTGAAGTGGTACATTCGCTCCGACCCAGGTCTAAGGAGAGATAAATAATGGGGAGATAACTTAACAGCTACCATAAACAGTATTCACAATGAAATGTTATTGATAACTTCCTACTATAGCGTATCTGTTTGACAGAAAAGAAAGCATCACAGGGGTTAGGAATACAAAGTTCAATGTGTTCCTTTGATAAATTCTTTATCAGCATTACTCTGTTTTCCAAAACACAAAAGTATCAATATGCCAAGGAGGTATTCTTCGTAACTATGATTTAACTACCTATGCAGTTGCTTTTCAGCTGAAATGCTTGTTTATTTTCCTTGTATGTATATATGTAATCATCCAGTTAGTCACCAATATTTACTCATTTTCATTAGCAAAACTACTTCAATCTGTCCCTGACTTTGTATTAGAGGTCATGTGTTCCGTCCCCCTTTGGGTGATGTTAAAAGTCCTCTCCTGACTTTGTATTAGAGGTCATGTGTTTCGTCCCCCTTGGGTGATGTCATAAGTCCTCTCCTGACTTTGTATTAGAGGTCATGTGTTCCGTCCCCCTTGGGTGATGTCATAAGTCCTCTCCTGACTTTGTATTAGAGATAATTAGTCAGTGTGCTACACAGAATACTTACGGGAGAAGTCGTCGTTCCCAGATGACAAACGGTGCTCCTGTCTCAAACATTGGTTTTCCTTTGTTGGATTCGTCCACATGAAGGACCTGTGCACCCTCCATTTTACGGTCCCATGTCCCTGTCAGAACCCACTTGGCCTTTCCTCCTGCATCCGTTACCACACCTGTAACCTAAAAAACCAGCTCGCATTAAAACCTACTTCATTACATTAACGTCTTCTTGAACTTTATTTATAAATAACAGCACAATATCTATCTGAAATAAGTGTCCGTTTTCCCCTGCGATACGGTGTCTAGTAATCGAAATAAGAGTATTCACACAAGTTTTAATCTATTGGTTTTGACACTCTGCTATAACAGCAGTATATCTACACCAATGTATTATGTTTCTCAATTTTGTTATAAAATCACATCTCTGAACAACCTGGTGCTATTGATATTTTCCTATATATACTGATGTAAATTACCGTCTATATCTATTGCTGTCACCAGCTTGTGAGAGTTACTGATACCATTGAAGGTATTTATAGTTAACAGCTGAACGTACCTTTCTGTGTTTCTCTTGAGAGAAGTAACTATATACTGCTGAACTTACCTTTCTGGGTTTCTCTTGAGAGAAGTAACTATATACTGCTGAACGTACCTTTCTGGGTTTCTCTTGAGAGAAGTAACTATATACTGCTGAACGTACCTTTCTGGGTTTCTCTTGAGAGAAGTAACTATATACTGCTGAACGTACCTTTCTGTGTTTCTCTTGAGAGAAGTAACTATATACTGCTGAACGTACCTTTCTGGGTTTCTCTTGAGAGAAGTAACTATATACTGCTGAACGTACCTTTCTGTGTTTCTCTTGAGAGAAGTAACTATATACTGCTGAACATACCTTTCTGGGTTTCTCTTGAGAGAAGTAACTATATACTGAACGTACCTTTCTGGGTTTCTCTTGAGAGAAGTAACTATATACTGAACGTACCTTTCTGGGTTTCTCTTGAGAGAAGTAACTATATACTGCTGAACTTACCTTTCTGGGTTTCTCTCGTGAGAAGTAACTATATACTGCTGAACGTACCTTCCTGTGTTTCTCTTGAGAGAAGTAACTATATACTGCTGAACGTACCTTTCTGGGTTTCTCTTGAGAGAAGTAACTATATACTGCTGACCGTACCTTTCTGGGTTTCTCTTGAGAGAAGTAACTATATACTGAACGTACCTTTCTGGGTTTCTCTAGAGAGAAGTAACTATATACAGCTGAACGTACCTTTCTGGGTTTCTCTTGAGAGAAGTAACTATATACTGCTGACCGTACCTTTCTGGGTTTCTCTTGAGAGAAGTAACTATATACTGAACGTACCTTTCTGGGTTTCTCTAGAGAAAAGTAACTATATACAGCTGAACATACCTTTCTGGGTTTCTCTTGAGAGAAGTAACTATATACTACTGAACGCACCTTTCTGGGTTTCTCTCGTGAGAAGTAACTATATACTGAACATACCTTTCTGGGTTTCTCTTGAGAGAAGTAACTATATACAGCTGAACATACCTTTCTGGGTTTCTCTTGAGAGAAGTAACTATATACTGCTGAACGCACCTTTCTGGGTTTCTCTCGTGAGAAGTAACTATACACAGCTGAACGTACCTTTCTGGGTTTCTCTCGTGAGAAGTAACTATATACAGCTGAACGTACCTTTCTGGGTTTCTCCACGAGAAGTAATATATACAGCTGCACGTAACTTTCTGGGTTTCTCTCGTGAGAAGTAACTATATACTGGTGAACATACCATTCTGGGTTTCTCTCGTGAGAAGTAACTATATACTGGTGAACATACCATTCTGGGTTTCTCTCGTGAGAAGTAACTATATACTGGTGAACGTACCTTTCTGGGTTTCTCTTGAGAGAAGTAACTATATACTGAACGTCCTTTTCTGGGTTTCTCTTGAGAGAAGTAACTATATACTGCTGAACGTACCTTTCTGAGTTTCTCTCGTGAGAAGTAACTATATACTGCTGAACATACCTTTCTGGGTTTCTCTTGAGAGAAGTAACTATATACTGAACATACCTTTCTGGGTTTCTCTTGAGAGAAGTAACTATATACTGAACATACCTTTCTGGGTTTCCCTTGAGAGAAGTAATTATATACTGCTGAACTTACCTTTCTGGGTTTCTCTCGTGAGAAGTAACTATATACTGCTGAACGTACCTTTCTGGGTTTCTCTCGTGAGAAGTAACTATATACTGCTGAACGTACCTTTCTGGGTTTCTCTCATGAGAAGTAACTATAAACTGAAGGTACCTTTCTGGGTTTCTCTAGTGAGAAGTAACTATATACGGCTGAACTTACCTTTCTGGGTTTCTCTCGTGAGAAGTAACTATATACTGCTGAAGGTACCTTTCTGGGTTTCTCTAGTGAGAAGTAACTATATACGGCTGAACTTACCTTTCTGGGTTTCTCTCGTGAGAAGTAACTATATACTGCTGAACGTACCTTTCTGGGTTTCTCTCGTGAGAAGTAACTATATACTGCTGAACGTACCTTTCTGGGTTTCTCTCATGAGAAGTAACTATATACTGGTGAACGTAACTTTCTGGGTTTCTCTCGTGAGAAGTAACTATATACTGGTGAACATACCATTCTGGGTTTCTCTCGTGAGAAGTAACTATATACTGGTGAACGTACCTTTCTGGGTTTCTCTTGTGAGAAGTAACTATATACTGGTGAACGTTACTTTCTGGGTTTCTCTCGTAAGAAGTAACTTTAAACTGCTGAACGTACCTTTCTGGGTTTCTCTCGTGAGAAGTAACTATATACTGCTGAACGTACCTTTCTGAGTTTCTCTCGTGAGAAGTAACTATACACAGCTGAACGTACCTTTCTGGGTTTCTCTCGTGAGAAGTAACTATATACAGCTGAACGTACCTTTCTGGGTTTCTCCACGAGAAGTAATATATACAGCTGCACGTAACTTTCTGGGTTTCTCTCGTGAGAAGTAACTATATACTGGTGAACATACCATTCTGGGTTTCTCTCGTGAGAAGTAACTATATACTGGTGAACATACCATTCTGGGTTTCTCTCGTAAGAAGTAACTATATACTGGTGAACGTACCTTTCTGGGTTTCTCTTGAGAGAAGTAACTATATACTGAACGTACCTTTCTGGGTTTCTCTTGAGAGAAGTAACTATATACTGCTGAACGTACCTTTCTGGGTTTCTCTCGTGAGAAGTAACTATGTACTGCTGAACGTACCTTTCTGAGTTTCTCTCGTGAGAAGTAACTATATACTGCTGAACATACCTTTCTGGGTTTCTCTTGAGAGAAGTAACTATATACTGAACATACCTTTCTGGGTTTCTCTTGAGAGAAGTAACTATATACTGCTGAACTTACCTTTCTGGGTTTCTCTCGTGAGAAGTAACTATATACTGGTGAACGTACCTTTCTGGGTTTCTCTTGAGAGAAGTAACTATATACTGAACATACCTTTCTGGGTTTCTCTTGAGAGAAGTAACTATATACTGCTGAACTTACCTTTCTGGGTTTCTCTCGTGAGAAGTAACTATATACTGCTGAACGTACCTTTCTGGGTTTCTCTCGTGAGAAGTAACTATATACTGCTGAACGTACCTTTCTGGGTTTCTCTCATGAGAAGTAACTATATACTGAAGGTACCTTTCTGGGTTTCTCTAGTGAGAAGTAACTATATACGGCTGAACGTACCTTTCTGGGTTTCTCTCGTGAGAAGTAACTATATACTGCTGAACGTACCTTTCTGGGTTTCTCTCGTGAGAAGTAACTATATACTGCTGAACGTACCTTTCTGGGTTTCTCTCATGAGAAGTAACTATATACTGGTGAACGTAACTTTCTGGGTTTCTCTCGTGAGAAGTAACTATATACTGGTGAACATACCATTCTGGGTTTCTCTCGTGAGAAGTAACTATATACTGGTGAACGTACCTTTCTGGGTTTCTCTCGTGAGAAGTAACTATATACTGGTGAACGTTACTTTCTGGGTTTCTCTCGTGAGAAGTAACTATAAACTGCTGAACGTACCTTTCTGGGTTTCTCTCGTGAGAAGTAACTATATACTGCTGAACGTACCTTTCTGGGTTTCTCTCATGAGAAGTAACTATATACTGAAGGTACCTTTCTGGGTTTTTCTAGTGAGAAGTAACTATATACGGCTGAACTTACCTTTCTGGGTTTCTCTCGTGAGAAGTAACTATATACTGGTGAATGTACCTTTCTGGGTTTCTCTCGTGAGAAGTAACTATATACTGCTGAACGTACCTTTCTGGGTTTCTCTCGTGAGAAGTAACTATATACTGCTGAACGTACCTTTCTGGGTTTCTCTCATGAGAAGTAACTATATACTGGTGAACGTAACTTTCTGGGTTTCTCTCGTGAGAAGTAACTATATACTGGTGAACATACCATTCTGGGTTTCTCTCGTGAGAAGTAACTATATACTGGTGAACGTACCTTTCTGGGTTTCTCTCGTGAGAAGTAACTATATACTGGTGAACGTTACTTTCTGGGTTTCTCTCGTGAGAAGTAACTATAAACTGCTGAACGTACCTTTCTGGGTTTCTCTCGTGAGAAGTAACTATATACTGCTGAACGTACCTTTCTGGGTTTCTCTCATGAGAAGTAACTATATACTGAAGGTACCTTTCTGGGTTTCTCTAGTGAGAAGTAACTATATACGGCTGAACTTACCTTTCTGGGTTTCTCTCGTGAGAAGTAACTATATACTGGTGAATGTACCTTTCTGGGTTTCTCTCGTGAGAAGTAACTATATACTGCTGAACGTACCTTTCTGGGTTTCTCTCGTGAGAAGTAACTATATACTGCTGAACGTACCTTTCTGGGTTTCTCTCATGAGAAGTAACTATATACTGGTGAACGTTACTTTCTGGGTTTCTCTCGTGAGAAGTAACTATAAACTGCTGAACGTACCTTTCTGGGTTTCTCTAGTGAGAAGTAACTATATACTGCTGAACGTACCTTTCTGGGTTTCTCTCATGAGAAGTAACTATATACTGAAGGTACCTTTCTGGGTTTCTTTAGTGAGAAGTAACTATATACGGCTGAAGTTACCTTTCTGGGTTTCTCTCGTGAGAAGTAACTATATACTGGTGAATGTACCTTTCTGGGTTTCTCTCGTGAGAAGTAACTATATACTGGTGAATGTACCTTTCTGGGTTTCTCTTGTGAGAAGTAACTATATACTGGTGAACGTTACTTTCTGGGTTTCTCTCGTGAGAAGTAACTCTATACTGGTGAACGTTACTTTCTGGGTTTCTCTCGTGAGAAGTAACTATAAACTGCTGAACGTACCTTTCTGGGTTTCTCTCGTGAGAAGTAACTATATGCTGAATATTTAAGATGGCACTTGTCATTGTTTGTGTGATTGGTGATGTCCATCTCCCCGTGATGGTCAACCCACAACTTCCCAACAATGATATTGTGAACTGTTGTGGTCACTTTCCTCCATGTGTAATGATTTCCAGACTTTTTAAACAACAGGTGTGCAATTCCTGAAATGATGCATTTAATTTTAGAAATCAAGTCCACAACTTGTACAACAGATTTGCAATTTCTGAAATGTAACCACTGTTTTTTTCTACCTGCACATGCCTTAGCTGAACAAATTGGGACAAGAGGCCCATGGGGCCTGAACAGTCATTTGATTATAAAGACCTTCATATGAAAGAGGCAAAATAGGCCTAAAATAAATTGCTCAATTACTCCACAGCTTACATAGAAGACATTGTTGGTTCATCAAGACATTTTTGCTAGTTGAAAAACAAGCCACAGACCCAATATCAAGATGCTTGACCTCTAAGTTATTGAGAACCAATGTCAAGACCTTTGACCAAATAGTTATTGAGAACCAATATCAAGACCCTTGACCTCTAAGTTATTGAGAACCAATGTCAAGACCCTTGACCACTTAGTTACTGAGAACCAATGTCAAGACCTTTGACCTCTTAGTCAATAAGAATTAGTCATTAAAACATTTTAACACATTGGATACCTGTGACCTTGAAAGTAGATTAATGTCATTAATATTAACAAAGTTGGTAGCCCTTCATCCTAGCATGCTACAGGCCTAATATCATCATGCTTGTCCTTTTGAGTATTGAAAAGTCATTTAAACATTTTCATATATTTGACCCCTGTAAGCTTTTAACCAGATCAAGGTCATTCCTGTTCACCAGGGTTTGAATCGACTTTTTGAATTTATGAAATGATTCCTCATTCCCAGTGATGTTTTAATCTAAATTTGGTTGAAATCCATTGAAGCATTAAGAAAGAGTAGCATTTTGAAGCAAAAAATAGTTTAACTTCCTAGGGGTCAAATCATATTTCTGAAAGTAAGAAATATTTGCAAACCCCTACTGGTGTTATGGACAAAAGTCGTATGAAATTCATTCAACCATTAAGGAAAAGTACCATTATGAAGCAAAATATTGTCAAATTTCCCCTCTTGGGGCCTCACACCCAAGTCCCTAGGGGTTGAATCAGATTTTTTAATTCAAAAATTAACTGCAAAACGCTACTGATGTTACAGGCAATTTAATTGAATGAAATACATTCAAGCATTAAAGAAATTCAACGTTTTGAAGCGGAGTATTGTCCAAACACTGTTTTGGGGCCTCATACCTATTTCTCTATGTGTCAAATCAAATTTCTGAATTTAAGAAACGATACTCAATTCCAAATGATGTTTTAGACCAAATTTGCAGGTGTATTGTTTTAAAGGAAAAGTTTATGGATGGCACACCACTATGGACCCTGCACAATAGCACTAGATAAAAATACAACTAACATTGGTGTTATTATAACATGACGAGAAAATATTTCTTTTGAACATTTATGTCAAAAAAACGAAAACAAAATATGAGATTTGAGGAATTTCAAATTCAACTCCAATTCTCAATCTATTTTCTGTGATTAAAAAGCAAAATCCACATATTGGCCTTACCCAGTGGGATGACTTGAAGATATTTGCCCCTAAACTTGCTTGTCATGCTAAATTCTTGCCAGAGAATCCATTCTTTTCCCTCTGTATACTGGGCAGCTGTTGGAGGATGATGCATCACCTGTTCTGCAATTGTACGCCAGCCCAAATCATCCATACGGTCACACTCATATGTTTCACCAAGGAGTGGATTGAATGGTTTGGTGCTACGGTTTACGGTGGTGGAGAAGGAAGAAATTGTAAATGCTGCAACGTGCACAAGTTGTTCAGCCGAGTCCTCGCAAGCACCTGCCTTGTCAAGAATACTGGAGTACTCGAAGTCCTCAGTCAGTCTTTGAAGCATGGACAAAGGCTCATTAAAATTTACCTGTGAAGAAAGTTGGACAGAAAGTGTTTCTTTATATGTTTTAATACATGTTTGCCAAAATATTGACAAATTTGCCCTTTTGGGGCCCTGCCTACAAGTCCCTAGAGGTCAAATCAAATTTCTGAATGAAAGAAATAATTGCCTACTCTAACAGATGAATCAGGCCAAAGCTTGTTGAAATCCACCCTGGAGAATGGAGGAGTAGGGTAATTTCTGCACCTCCCTTCTGGTGCCCTATCCCCTAACCGCTTGGGGTAAAATAAAAAATCTGAATTTAATACATTATTACCCTCACCCGATGATGCATCAAACTAAATTTGGCAGAATACATTGCAGTAAAATGGAGGAGTAGGGTTTTAAAGAAAAAGTTTAAACACTACGCATGACAATGAACGAAACACAATGACCTAAAAATGGACAATTAGAAGTTTTGGAAATATCTTTCAAAACAATGTAAACTTATCATGTCCAGAAAAAGATGCATACTTGTCTGGAACACCTGATCTCACCTTTAGTTTTTGTGAAAGATGTTTTCAGAACTTAATGTCTCTATTTTATTTGTCTGATATCAACGTTCAATTTCATTGTGTCCTGTGTGTCAGTATTCTGGTATTCCATTTCTTTGAATCGCTTGCTTTTTGAGCTTTTATCATTTTTCTCTTCTTACAAATATACAAATACCTATATTAATCCGAAAAATACTTGTCAAACATTCTTTCTACACATTCCTGGGAAGAAAGCAGTCACCATCTAAAGGAATTTAGATATTAGTTCATTTTTGTTTTTCTGAAAACTAGAAACACAGTTATCTTGGATGACATCTTCATGCATGTCATGTCATTATGAGAAAATGATGTTCGTGAGATGAACAGGATTTACTTACAGGCATGGGTATTTTGGAAAGTTCTTTGCCTATGCAGTTCTTCATGATGCTCCACAAATTTAGGCTATAGTTTGGCTTTAATGGGATGACAGGTCTACGTGTCCCTCGACTCCCTAGGGAATCAGATGTAAGTTGACGTTCGGGACACTTCTTTGTTACTGACTTTGAACTGCCTTGACTCTGTAACAAAATGACATTTACATGAGAATTTTAAAAACATACAACTATAGAGAACATACTCTGTAGCTGTTTAAATGTTCAGGGTTGTCATTTCAAATTTGTCCCAGTTCACAGAGATTAAATTTTGCACAGATCTGAGACTACATTAAGCAGCAATCAGAAAACCATCTCTTTCCATTGATGTCCTGTCTACAGGTATATTATACAAATACCCATTTTTTTATTCATCTGAAAATAAATAAGCTGAATTTCACTCCCTCTTTGCAGAGCACTTCACTGCTGGGTTGATTGCCTTGTGAATAGCCAAGGCCTACCAGTAATACATGGTGGCAATCTCACTGAACAACATACAGGAGGCCCATCTCAAGTCATCCAGAACAATTTCGGTAAAATGTCTTGCTCAAGGACAAAATCATGTAAGCACAGACCGGTCTGTTTCGTTGATTCTTAATAAACACAAACCACCATAGGTACGGAGTGTCAAAACAATCACCAGTTGAATTACACGGGATCTTTATCTTAGTATATGCAGATCAATACTGCTACAGTGGATATAGCGAAATTTAAACCCCAGAAAATACAAGAGGTCCAAGGGTCCTGCATTATTCACCTGGCTAATTCAGCTATTCATTCATTTAAAAAAGAATTTCAAATATGACAATTTTTTTCTGAATATGGTTTCCCTATTGTGTCCCCCCTTCCTGAAAACACAAACAGATTCCCATTTCAGAAAAATTGCTTCTGATGAAAATTGAAGAAGAGAAAGAACTTACATTTCCCACCTGGTTCCCAACCCTCCTGTCCCTAAGGACTGAGACATAATGTTTATATAAATACAAGATTGATTTCCCTTCACCAAGGAATGCTTCAGACCAAATTTGGTACAATATCCACTCACTTCTTCAGGTGGAGTAGGATTTTAAAGAACTTACTCTATTTCCCCTATTGGGCCCCACCTGCCCCATTGAGCAAAGACCTAACAAGTATTCAAGACTAATTCCTCTTCACAAAAGAAAGCTTCAGACCAAATTTGGACATCATTAATTAATTCCTACAGGAGTAGGATCTTAAAGAATTTACACTATTTTCCCTACTTGGCCCTGCCATTCCTGCCCCCAGGGGGACCAAGACCTCAAATTTATGCAAAATTTATTTCCCTTCACACAAGAATGCTTCAAATTAAATTTAGGCAAAATCCATTTATTCCTACAGGTGGGGTAGGATTTAAAGGATTTACTTGCCAAAATTCCCCTCTTCAGCCCCACCCATCAAGGCCCTATTCGAGTAAATTTGAGCCTTTTTGTCCTGCCTCTCAGCCACAGTCTGATAAGGACCGTATAAATCACCATTTTGGTTCATCTTAAGTTTTCTACAAAATTTCATTGAAATCTAATTTTTGAGTTTTTGAGAAGAAGTAAAAAATGTTTAATTGTTTATAGAAGCACCACACATGATGCCTGACAAAGGCGATGTGGTCCTAAAAATGTTGACAGACAGAAGATGGATGATAGATGATGTACCCTGGCATTACTATCTGGTAAATATTAGAAATCTGAACATTAAAGTGTATGTGAATTGGGTTGTATAAATTTGATTTACCGCAGTGTCACCATCTGTGTTGATGTGAGAGTAAACACGAGCTTCCTGGGTGTCACGATCATCATCATTATCACTGCTCACACTACTGCGGTCCTCTGGTATGATCTGACTGTCCACGCTCATATCACTAATGGTCCTTCTGCCAAATAAAAGTCAAAGGTCACATAGATGTCTAGAAGTATGTTCCCATTTGCCGCAACATTCCAGTTGTGTCACTTTGGAACTGGTCTTTCAAATGGAACAATCATGTTTTCTGCAATATGCAAATCCAAAATGGTGGACTAAGTTAGTTGTTGCCAATATTTAGCTTTCATCAACAATGATGACGACGACATATTTGAAATGATGGCCGTGATTGGCACAAAACGAAAACACACCAGAGTGCAACTGTATTCTGAATCAATCATAACCAATTATGACAAGATGGAATTCTAATCTTATTTTTGCATGATACAATTTTCTAGAAAAAAAAATCTTTGCAACAGGTAAGCTCCCCATCTTTCATGAGTATGGGCATAAGCCTGTTAATGTTGGAAATAACCTGTGTGATTCAGTTGCAAAACTACATCATACATTCTCACTGACATCAGAGAGGGTTATATTACCTATAGATACAACAGTAAGATAATTTGGTGAAATTGTTGATTAATACATCTTTGTGAATATATGAGGACACATGAAATAATTTAATGATGGCCATATTGGATCCAACTCAGCACCTTCAAATGAGACGTTCTCCACAAATGGGTTAATTTCACTGGAACATCACTTTCCATTTATCAAAATGACTTGGTTCGTACCTGCACAACTGCAATGTTCCATTAAATGGAATTACAGTAAAAGGATACTTTAGTCAAAATTAAAATTTGAAGCAGACAAAGTCAAAGATTAAATAATAATGTTTTTCTGACACACAAAGGTCAACAATGAATTCACAGGACAAAATGAAGTCCACGCTGACAATATTCGTTCATAGGTCAAAGGTTATCTACACTTCAGTGATAAGTTGTCATACTCATAATAGGTTGCCATCAAACTGAAAGTCAAAATGAATGAAAATCCAAAGATGATACAAATGCTCATGGCAGAGGGTGCTGTATCAAAGTAATGAATCTAATTAGAGTCAAAATATACACAGATGTAAACTCGTGCTTATAAGCTGAAGATAATGAGTAAAATCACTAGCAGATATTAAGTATAACCTTGTTGGTGTTGAGAAGATGAGTTTTTCTTTGTTCACTTGATTGCTGGGTTTATCATACAGTGAACAGCCTGGGTCATTTTGAAGGGGTATCCCTGTGGTAGCTGGTGGTGACCTCACTGAACAACATACAGGAGGCCCCCAATGCTATACAGAGCATTTTGTGGTAAAGTGTCTTGCCCTAGCACACAATTTCACCACTGACTAATCTGTTTCTTAGCTTCCTGAGAAACACAAGCTGCTTTAGGTAATGAGCTGTGAAACACAGACCTCTAATTTACACAAGTGGTTATGTAGACCAATAGTCTTACTGACCAAGTAAATGTGGCCTCCTTTTTAACTATTTCAATATTTTTACTATTAATGAGAATAGAATAGCAAATAAAAAAAGAAACAGATTCCTTGAAATCAAGACTGGGAAATATATCAAATTATGACTTTTGTTGCAGATAGAAATATTTTCACTTGAAGCTTTTGTAAAATAGCAAAAAAATATTTCTAACAAAATAAACAAATTCTACACTATTTCTTACCATGAAAACATATTTACAGAAAAAAAAAGAAACAGATTCCTTGAAATCAGGACTGGGAAATATATCATAATATGACATTTGTTAATAATAATAATAATGATAATGATAATAATGTTAATATCTATCGATTAAACTTTGCATTAATGTCTGTATTTAATGTTAGTTTATTTTCAGACATTTCCTGTCTAAGACATGATAGAGTATTCTTCGATGGAGATTCCTATTATTTCCATGTACCTGTGTGAGGGTTGTTTGTTTGGCAAAGCTACTTCAAATTCATTTGCCTGATAGTCTAAAGCATCAAAAAAGTCATCCTCATCTGATCCAGGAACTGAAAAATTGAAAAAAAGTCATTTGTGAGAAAAGAAGTCCTGGTTTCCCATCTGAAAGATATTGTCATCATGCATGTGTTAAGTTAAATATTGTCAATCTAAAATATATACATTGTCTAAACAATGTTTACTGGGTTTTTGCTTCAAAAGGACAACAAAATAATGCTTTTTCCAATCTTGTGATTCAGAAATATTTCCAGTTTTCACAGGTTTAATATAGATCTACAGTGAAATATTTAATAATATCCAGTCAGTTTAGATATACAGTGAAAGATTTGTTAATATCCAGTTAGTTTAGATCTACAGTGAAATATTTGTTAATATCTAGTTAGTTTAGATCTACAGTGAAAAATTTGTTAATATCTAGTTAGTTTAGATCTACAGTGAAAAATTCTTTAATATCCAGTTAGTTTAGATATAGTGAAAAATTCTTTAATAGCCAGTCAGTTTAGATCTACAGTGAAATATTCTTTAATATCCAGTCAGTTTAGATCTACAGTGAAATATTTCTTAATATCCAGTCAATTGTTGGTGAAACTGATAAAAGAAGTAATATTACAATTTCTGATCATATAATACAGGTACAATGCAGACTGTAATTTAAACATTTATTTAGTTCCAGAATTCATGTGTAGAAGATAGCAATATCTTTGTATATGTGACCCCAACATGACAAGGTAATTTTGTCCCATTTAGAATAATAATGATGCTGAAACAAATAGAATTCCTCGCGAAATCAGCCCCTACTGTTATTTGTTTAAATCCCCGTAAATTAATAATAGAACATGCAGCAGTATTTTCTTTTTTCAATTTTCAAAAAACTTTCCGATCAGTTTTATCTTCCTTACCCATTTCCTTTTTGTCCGAGACATTTGCATGCATTGATCGTTTGGCTTGTGTTTCCAAGGAAACTTGATCCTTAGCTAACTGTTCCACCATTTCTTCAAGTTTCATCCTCTGCTCCTGTTCAAAGTGTACAATCTTTTGTAGACGCTTGACCTGTCCCTGCGCAGATTCCAGGTATTCTGAACAAGCCTGTAAGAAGCAAAGCATCTCTTTTTCATACAAGATATTTAGAAAGGAGCCATAGAAGTGATAATTTTTGTGAGCTTCGACAAATTTCATAAAACCTCATACAAAATGGATTTCCTTACATATCTCAGAAAAATTACATTTTGACAGGATTTAAAGTGAAAATGTGAAGGACAAACTTAAATGTAGGCAGCCAATTTGAATTCGTGATGTAACTTCAATGTATTATAGCATCTGATTGGTGCAGACAATGAGATATGCTCTGTGGTCTATTACACAAGTGACATCGATGCAAAATATTACATGTATGAATTCATTGGACATGAATTCAAAGTTATGAACACTAATGATCTGCAAATTAAGTTGAATAATTAACAAGAGGCCCAAGGGGCCTACATCATTATACTGGCTTATTTAGCCATTTAATAGAGGATTTCAAATATAACAAATAATTTCTGATATAATTTCCCTATTGGGTCCCAGTGCCCTTGCAGTCTAACAGAAGTCAGATTCACTATTTATAAAAACTGCTTCAGACCAAACTTGGAAATAGTCCTTTTATAAAAGAAGGATTTTTAAGAATTTTGGGCAGGGATGTATACAGAGCTGATACTCCTTCACCCAAGAATACTTCAAACAAATTTGGGCAGTATCCATTCATTCATACAGGAGGAGAAGGACTTTAAAGAATTTTTTCCAATTTCACCTATTGGGTCTTGCCCGTCCCATCCCAAGGGGCTAAAGAACTCTTGATCAAATCTGAGCGATATTCACTTATTTCTACAAGAAGAGTAGGATGTTTAAGAATTTGCTCCATTTTGCCTATTGGGCCCTGTTCCTCCTGCTCCAAGGGCGGAGACCTTACGGTTATACAAGATTAATTATTCTTCACCCCAGAATGCTTCAGCCCACATTTGGACAATATCCATTCATTCCTACTGGAGGAGTAGGACTTAAAAGAATTTCCTTTTCAGTCAAACAGGGATAGTTGCCACTGATGAACATTCAGTTTTCTCTAAAGATTATTGAAATAAATCACTTTTGTTGATAAGAAAGAAAAAATCAGTGTCACACACCTACAATACATTCAGTGCATCTTTAACCTGATAGCTAGAAATGAATGAGAATTAAAATACATTTGTTGAAGTGAGAGGAACACTGCTAACTAAACATGAAATGTATAAACTACAGAATAAATTACAATCTTACATTGATCATGGCATTTGATGTGATTCGAAACATGGTCGCTCTCTCATTGACAACTTTCAGCTTACTTCCTGCATCTTCAGTGTTATTTAGAGTTTCTAGTTCTGTGAGCGCCCTCTGGAGGCCACTTCCATGTTTGGAGATGAGATCATTACAAGTGTTCATGTCCTCAAGCTTTGAGGCAAGTGTCTTAAGCATGTTTTGTAACTCATTTTTGTCTGGCTCTGGGGCCTCCTCCTCGTCACTATCTGTAGATGAAAAAGATACAAATCAGCAGCTAAATAAAAAGATCCCTCTCAACAATGGCAGGATATTTATTCGTCTTTAACAAGTCTGATCCCTCTCAACAATGGCAGGATATTTATTCGTCTTTAACAAGTCTGATCCCTCTCAACAATGGCAGGATATTTATTCGTCTTTAACAAGTCTGATCCCTCTCAACAATGGCAGGATATTTATTCGTCTTTAACAAGTCTGATCCCTCTCAACAATGGCAGGATATTTATTCGTCTTTAACAAGTCTGATCCCTCTCAATAATGGCAGGATATTTATTCGTCTTTAACAAGTCTGATCCCTCTCAACAATGGCAGGATATTTATTCGTCTTTAACAAGTCTGATCCCTCTCAACAATGGCAGGATATTTATTCGTCTTTAACAAGTCTGATCCCTCTCAACAATGGCAGGATATTTATTCGTCTTTAACAAGTCTGATCCCTCTCAACAATGGCAGGATATTTATTCGTCTTTAACAAGTCTGATCCTTCCTCCTTTTTCTGTCTTTCTTTTCTATTTACTAAGTAAATAACTGACAACTGAATTAATTAAAACTTTAGATAACTCCATCCAGCACTTCTCAAGAAACAGTGAAAACATACAATTTAACCAGGTTCAAAGTCAAATATGGCAACCTCCTGTTCATGTTGTTTTCTCAATCTGTCCTAAAATGGACACTGCAGAAGTAAGGACCAAGCTAAGGAGAAAGCTAGGAAATTTGAGAAAGTTTCTTCCAGTATGCTACTCCAAAAAAGCTTGTCTGGCCTCCATCTTGTTTCCCTTGACCAGTCTTAACTTAAGTGGTCAATACACAATTAGGGACAATGAGATGTACCCACATCTGAAATTTGACATGTATCACATATATACATTTGGATGTATAACAGATAGTTTTATAGTGCAGGCATCTTGGTATGGAACCTGTTCATCATTCCTACTTTTCTCACAAAATAAAATTTTGTTGACTGGATTCATCATTTTATACCTGGTTCCGAATGGGCATCATTTTTAGCGAGCTCGAGGGCTGTGACCCACTTCTGTCTCTCCACCTCAGATGTAGCCTTTAGATAGAAGGTCTGTGTACCCCCATTAGAGATGACAATGGTATTAGAATCTTCTGTATGTATGAAGGCATTGGCTAGATTGATCGTTCCTCGACAAGTGTGTGCCATTTCTGCCTGTGATCTAGAAAATAAAAATTTATATAACCAAGTTTAATCTTGTACCCTTCAGTAACTGGTATAGGGAAAAAGTCTTCTTCCAATTTACATGTATGTTACTGCTAACACACACCCTTAATCATAGATCAGTAGGATGGAACGAGATCTTTATCACATCAATACCCTGCTAGAAGTGTCATAACACAAGGAACCATTATATGGCACATAAGTAATATGACCTAGCAAAGATTTCATTGACTTAAGGTTCCTGTTGTTTCCATTGTGATGTCATAAAATTCAGGGTGACTAATTCAATGTGACCTCGCAAAAGATATGGATTGAAAATATCTCAAATTGAGATTCTGCACTTTTGTTTTGAAATGCTGTTTTCATGAATGTAAACGTGAAACTATCAAATGCAAGTTATGTAGAAAACAGTATTATACATTTATTTCGATTTCAGATTATATCTATGAAACTGATCAAATACTTTTCATTATATTGAGCCTGAACCTAAAGCTAAACAAGAGGCCCAGATGGCCTGTATCACTCACCTGAATATTTAAGTCAATAATGCAAAACTTAACACTTCTTTAGAAATATTTTTCCAGATGAGCCTCACCCAACAGATATGGCTTCAAGGTGTTGGGGGACTGAGATCAGATTTTAATCACTTGATGTCCAGCAATGTTATTAAGTTATGGGATGGTAATCTCAATGGCTTCAAAGATGTAATCAGTCCTGGGGTAGGGCCAGACCCCAGGACAAATTATCAGTTATGATTGTGTTTATCTCCCGATGCTCAGCGATACTCTAGTTATTCAGTGGGGATCACTATTGCTTCAAAGAACCAAATATCAAAGGAATAGTTAATGGTGCAAAGTGAAGAAGATAGATTTTACAGAAATTGATGGATTTTCCCTAACCGTTTATACAACACTAATTTCCCTTCACCCAAGCATGCTTCAGACCAAATATGGATGATATCCTATGATTCCTGAAGAACAAGGTAGATTTTTAAGAAATTGATAGACTTTCCCCATTGAGCCCCTTCTATACTATCTAGTCCCAAGTGGCAGAGACCCACTGTTTATACAAAACTGATTTCCCTTCACCCAAGCATGCTTCAGACCAATTTTGGACAATATCCTGCAATTCCTGAAGAACAAGATAGATTTCCAAGAAGTTGATAGATTTTCCTTACTGGGTTCGCCCCTTTTAGCCCCAGGGGGCCAGGACCCACCGTTTATACCAAACTGATTTTCCCTCAACCAAACATGCTTCAGACTATATTTTGACAATATTCTGCAATTCCAAAAGATGATAGATTGTAAAGAAATTGTTTGATCTTAATATGCTCTTTTTAAGTTGGATGTTGGATGTTTTCCCTTCTTTTCTCTTCTCTATTTTTGCTCTTGACGATAAGACAGTTTAACATTCCTTTGCAGAAATAGTGATGATAATCTTTACCTGCCAAATCAAGAAATGTCGTCTGAAAGTCATTGTGTTTCTTCTGATCAGTCCCAAAATCAAACCAGCACAAGGAGAGACCAAAGTGAACAAACTTATGAAATTTGAGAGATATTCATTCAGCACTTCTTAAGAAAAAGCAATAACAATTTTTATTAGGCAAAATCCAAGATGGCTGCCTGTCAGCCATTTTGTTTTTCTGATCAGTCCCAAACTCAAACAGGCACTACAAGGGACCAAAAGGAACCTCTACAACATTTGAGAGAGAACTATAGAGTAGTTCTCAAGAAATAGTAATAACAATCTTTCACAGTCATAATCAAAGATGGCCCCATGCAGGCCATTTGTTTTTTCTGATCAGTACCAAATCAACCAGGCACAACTTGGGATCAAATTTAAAAAAAGATCTGTCCTGTACTGTTCAAGAAATAGTGATAACAAACTTTAAAAATTAAAATACAAGATGGCTGCCTGTCAGCCTTTTTGCTTTTTGGAACAGTCCAAAAAATTACATTGGCACAACTAGACCAAGGGGAACCTACATATGAAATTTGGGAGAGATCCATCTCTTTATTTTCAAGAAATAGCGATAACAAACTTCATTGAAAAAATCCAAGATTGCTGCCTGTTGGCCATTTTTTTATCAAACCCAAAATCAAATGGGCACAACTAGGAACCAAGGAGAACCTACATATGTAATACGAGAAAGATCCATTTAGTAATTCCCAAGAAATAGCGATAACAAAAATGGTTGACGAATGGATGGACGGACCACAGACGATGGACCATGGACGCAGAGCAATTTGAATAGCATATGTCATCTGATGATGGTGGGCTAAAAATGAAATAACAAAATATTTGCTTCATAGATCTTGTCATAGAAACTACTGAAAGAACCACTAATTACATATGATTCCATCACATTTAACTAGTACGGTATACCAAGTAATTTACAAATATTACCTGTAGCAATATGATTTACCTTAAGTATATGCTTTCCATTTTAATTTCAACTCACCAGCACCATCATAATCAGTACAATAATCAATATAATCATGAAAAGTGGACAGGAGATATCATTTTGACAGGAATACATCTTCTGTGGAAGAAAATGTATGTTTACAAGAAAATACTTTAGCCAACTAGTGTTATTTAAAATTTAAGTTATACCAACACGGGCATGAGACATAATGTATAACTTAACAAACATTTATTGATTTCAACAACTGAAGAATTTATCTTAAAGATGCAGAACTGATATCAAATATACCAGGACTCAGTTCATAGTACTTCCATGTTGTCTAATTTGACAAACAAACAAAGAAAAAATGTGTTTTATTAGTCAAGGATTTCATATTCATATACATATCAGAGGGACCAGAGATTCCACAGCCATGTTGTAAATGATAAAAGAATCTACAATATTAACTTCCTCTGTATAAACACATGCTTCTCTATTTAAAGAACTATGGCAAGTCATATCATCATGCTTATCAATACCTTCAAAGTTTCCTTTGAATTGAACTTCACAAATGACAGCAAGGATGTGGTGGAGTAGGCCAACATACAGCTGCTCCATGCTGTATGTTTTAAAACAAAATGATAAAAAATACGAAATTGGAACAAATAATGATTATGCCTACTAAATTTTTAAAAAAAAAATGGCAAGGAGATCTCCAGACCCACATCCTCTGTCAAAAGGCAAATCTCAACAAAATCGACTACATTCCGAAATGCAAGGTGAAACAGTTAAGGAACACACAACTGAATTTAAAATCCCACACATGAACATGTACATAAAGTGGTACAATGACAAAACATTTGACAAGAGGCCTGAACATGTATAATAAACAGTGATAATAATGATTAAATATCATTTTTCAGTTTCTCTTCTATACTTTTGATGACATACATTTATAAACTTAATATAAAAATATTTCCATCCATTTTATTTACACTCGTACAATATTCTTTCAAATTTGAACTAAAAAAGTAAATAGAAACTGACTGATTTATTTTCCTAAGAATTTACATCTAAAAGCCTTGACTTTGAAACATTACTTATGTCCCATTATATGGTAAGTAAATAGTAGATATATTAACCTCTAGATTTAAGATGAAATCCAGCAACCGAGGCTTAAGTGTATAGTCGATATGTTTAGTAGTAGAATATTGTTGTGTTTTGTTCACCAGACAATTAGTTACATGTGTCATTTCAATTACACTTTATATGCTGCGAATACCTGAGAAATGTAGAATGGAACAAAATCGCATAAGTACATATGTGAATTTAGGTCAACCTTGATTAATCTCACATCCAATGGAATAAATCTAGATTTTCTTTATACATACATTTATCTGTCAACAGGCAACAAGAGGCCCAAGGGCCTTAACGGTCACCTGAATCACAATATTCCTTGTACATGTTATAAAAGTGATTTTGTTAAAAAAATAATTGAGATAACTTTATTGTATACATAATATAAATTGTCCATAACATTAACTGCTGTTCCATGCTTTGAAATTTCAAAGTTTGAACCATCTTTAAAAGAAATAAACAAATTATGCTTAAAAATTGAATTTTTCTATATGAACTATAGTAAATTTGATTATGACCTCCCTGGATCTGCATGGCCTGCACAGGCAGTTCTATCGTACTGACAGCAATGCTAGCATCTTGGCACTCTCATATGAAATAATACAACTCTCTCACCATCTATATCAGCCTTTCTGGTCAGGGGTTGGGACTTTAGGCATTTTTTTTTCTTACATGACCGAATGTTGAATGTTGTGATGTCAAAGTGTGTTGGCACAAAACCAAAGTCTTTCAGTGTAGTCAGTGGTGTCAAGTCTCTCTTTGGCTGTAAATGATGTTTGCTGCTTCCCCATGTTGAAGTCCATGAAAGCAATCTATCATTAAGTACCTTAGGATACCTTGGTGGATACTGATATCATGAAAGATCATGCCTATACTGAACATATTACATGCTTTTATGTGGACAAGGTAGGACTGAACAATTTCAGACTGTTAAAAAAACATCGTTTTCTGACCAACAGTAAATGCATTAGTGTCATGCTGATTGTGGTTTCCTAATTAGCAATGGATCAAAACATCAACTACTGCACCACAGTAACCGGTATTCAATATCTATATTAAACATACTTTTTTTTAAAAAGCTGACCCCAAAAACATACTTGGGCACTATACTTGCAAATTTACCATATGCAGATGGATTCCTCGTGACACCTGGCAAATTTATATGTAACAGGACAACGGGTAGTGTAGGGAATAGTAATATTGTTTGGACCACAAAAAGACTGGCCTTAAATTGAATGAAAAAATGTGAGATTTGGATTTATAGTCTTATGTAAACATGTTTGCTGTTGAGATTTTCTCTCGCGGACATTTCATTATATAGCTCAAATGTGGAATGGGGAACTATAAGCCGATGCATACCATTTTCTGTCAATAAAAATTTCACAACATATTTTTCATTCGGAGTATTTTCATACGTTCCATGAAATTTTATATACATTCTTCAAATGAATTGATTCGAAAGGAATCCATTATAGTAGAAAACAGTATTCATATCTGGATTTTCCTTTAAATGGCCAATATGAAGCCATTCTATGTACACAAAAGACTATCGCCAACTTGGCTTTTGTTCTAGATATGAGACAGCCGATTGCAATCTATTGTGAAATGTGCTATATAGAGAAACTTATATAAACCAATGAACATTATCCATTTATTATATGAAGCAAGTGATTGGCTCCAATTGGGGTTAACCTATTTACAAGATAGAGTGATGATTTACAGGACCATGGAAGAAAAGAATCTTTTAAATGATGTTTATGTAAATCTGTTTGACTTCAGGTGGTCAAACATGAAGCAACACAAATTACTTTCAACAGCAAATTCAAAATAAGAATAAATACATACATTTCTTACACATGTATTTTGGTCAAGGAAGACATACTTCTACCTGTAAATCAATTAACCCATACAAATGTGTTTATGTTCAAGCATACACACCCATAACATTACTCAGCTTGGGGACAGCCATTATGTACCATGTTAGAAATATGATAGTATAAATATGTTCATTCTTTATAAATTGCAAGCTGCGATAAAATCATGTTCTTTACTTAAATGATTTCATGTAAACTCGCAAAAATACTAAGAAATGTAAGTGACTTAATGTTACAAAGCATTTTGTTTGAAGCCAACATTTGAATGTCTGCTTTACTGGATTAAGGCCCTTGGATTGAACCTACAGTAGATGTCCCATAGGTAAAACAGACAAATTTAAATGGTAATTATAGTTCAACTCATTCTGGATCCTAACAAATGAACATTAATGTTTGTTAAAAAAACTGATTTTCCTTCACCCAAGCATGCTTCACACCAAATATGGACAATCGTTGGCTATTCCTAAAGAACAAGATAGATTTTAAAGAAATTGGTAGATTTTCCCTATTGGGCCCTGCCTCTCTGGCCAGAGACCCATCGTTTATACAAAACTGATTTCCTTCACCCAAGCATGCTTCACATCAAATAGGGACAATATCCTGCAAAGAACAAGATAAATTTTAGTAAAGCATCTTAAGGCCTTTCCATTGATTAAACTTATTTTATTCTGGATTTGAGAAGAATATTTTTGAAGTTTCAATCAATATGACCTTTTTTGGCCCCGCCCCTCAGGCATCACATTATATACATATTTTGTGTGCCTAAAGCCATGGAAGATTTTTGTAAAATTTCTTTGAAATTGGTTCTCGAGTTATCCAGAAAAAAAAAACAGAAAATGTTAAAAGTTTAAGATGCACGACGCTGGACAAAAGGGGATTGCAATAGGTCATTCCGAGACTTTAGGTGACCTAAAAAATCCATGAATGACCAAGGGAAGATAACTCATCACCCGAAGTGATTTATGGGGGGACAACTCTTCAGCAAAACTCATGAGTGGGGAGATTCACATGTAACTCAACACCAAAGAGGAGACAACTACTCACCTATGCTTCCATGCTCTGAGAGAAAGGTTTACAGAATATTTTCATTTAAAAATACATTATGATAGGTGTTGTATCTCACTACTGACTAGAGTGGGAATCTAAATTTGCATTTATATTATTTTCGCATCTGTATGTATGTATTTCATGTGTGTTAAACTGCATCTGGCCATCTGACATGCCTAATGTAGAATCAAATCATCTGGCTTTGACAGATTTATTTCAGCGAGGACAATATTCTGATGAATATACATCATGTAATAAAACTGTTGAAGCAGATGATTGATCAGGTCATCTGGTGTCTTGAAGGTCGAGGGTACAGAGGTGGAGGTAGTTGATGATTTTTGTATTAAATGAGATGTTTTCTGGTTGTAGGTAAAAAAGATATTCAAAAGGCATCATAAAGGGAAATAGATTCTCTAGAAACCATAAGCATGACTTAAAGACACAACAAAGCCATTTATATGGTGTGAGTAACACCACTGCTAAAACTACCAGGTTTCGTAACTAAGCTGGACAAGCTTCAATAGAGGTGGGTTGAATGGAGTCAACAGCCCTAGTGTGGTGTACTTGAGAAGCATAATGGTGCAGGGTTGTGGCAAAAGAACAGAGAACATCACAGGGATTTGGCATGAATTCCCGGCCCGTGGTCCATAAATGCATTATAATGATGCAGAGATTTGGCACGCACAAGTTGCTGACCCTTGGTCCATATATATGTATATATGTTTGATGAAAGAAATTGACCAAGTATAAACCAAGTTATGACCCGACAAATTCAGAATTATAGATATGTAGAAATGGCCAGGTAGACATTTCCTTGACTGGTTGAAACCTGCTCTTGTCTCTAATGGGAACTGTTTACCAACAAAAGCCTATAATCTGCAATTTCAGCAAAGTTATTGACATACCCATCAGAAATGAGAGCCTGTTTAACTAAGATGAAACCCCCTGCCCTTAGAGTATAAAAAAGAAGCATAATTGATAAAAACATCAGTCAGTTTTCCCTTTCTTGAGAGCTAAAAACCCTTGTCACTATCATTAAACATATAAATGGACCATGAGTTGCCAGACAAGTCCCTGGGTTACTGATATGATGTATTTAGCTTGTATCAGCTTGAATTAATCGACATCAGATAACCATTGATGTCTAAGAAGAGGTCGTAGGAAGAAGTAGCATATAATACCCTGGTTATGTTTTGCTAATACTCTAAACTTTCTCCCCAGCCATCTAGTACAAAATGCATAAAACAAATTGAATGCTACAATTAAACACATGTATGAATGTGGCAAATGTTAACCAAATTTATCGTCTTGATGTCAACCTGTCTGGAAAAGGTATTTTGGTGTTAAGCGATAAAAATATCATTTTGGAATAATTATATTGTTAGCATAATCATTACTAACAAATATAAGCCTATTCACAGGTCAGTCGTGGGGTTAACGTATTTTTTAACCCAGTTGTTGATACTTTCGGCAATATATACGTTTTTATTGGATAGGACGAAATTTCAGAGGTAAAACTAGTAAAACGTGCCACCGTGACGCAGGATGAATATATGTGCACTCGTATACATGTATTCTGATAAGTTGGTGAACTTGTACAGTGAGCATGCTTGGAACATCATAACAGATCGATTCCATATGCAGAATGGTGTGCGTTCTGCAGGATTCCCTTCCGCCAAACCCTCACTCTTGTAATTACCTGTAGTACGAAAGTAGGCCATTCTGAAGCACAAACCATCGTTTCTGGTACCCCCTCAAATAGTTTGTCCATTTATACAGCCAGCCACGGTACTGGGATTGATGTTGGGGTCTAGATTCTGACATTTTGAGACTCAGACCTTTAGTCTTGTGACACTTGTCATTGCTTATCGAGTCATCGGAAGATGGCCGCGACACGTCACAGCGATCCGCTAATTATGCTTGCGACTTCCTGATTAAAACTTTGTTAAAAGAAACGAATGTTGTTGGTAATAACCCCTTTTTTCAAACAACGTACAAATTACATACCAGCATCAATTGATAATAGCATGTTTGTTATTCATTTTACAAAACGACTATGTTAAATATTACGAACTACTTTCTAGCGTATGAATAATATGTAATATTTGTTGGGAGTAAAACTGGTTTACTGAGCCTGAAACGGACGTGGTACCCTATAACAAAACTACACTCTTCCATAGATTATAGCAATGAACGTTATTATATTATTTTTTCTTACACGAATTGTTCAATTACGTCAGTTCAATAGACAAACACAGAGAATAGCAGAACTTCGTTGTTACGACTAAATTCATGCCACGAATACGAAAATAAAAGTTTCCCGAATTGTTTAAAAAAAAACCTGCCCTACTGGTTTAGGTAATAACTTGAATGGTTTGTTTCTGTAAATTGGTCATTACTTTGATTTCTAACTTAGTCAGACCATTACCCCGTATAAGAACATAGTAAAAGTAAAGTTCCCTAGCATTGCCTAGCAGGTATGTGACGATTTTCGTTAGAGTTATCCCCCTTTAAATAATGCTCGGTAGACTTTTGATACAACTGTTAATTCTATTTGATTACTAAGGAGAAGACGATTTAAAGTGATAGCCAACAATTTCTAATTATCTTTTATTAATGAAAAGGCAGTTTACTCTGTAAATATGATTATATAGGAATGTACTTGTTGATTCTTAAATAATTGTTTATTTATGTGAATGTCCTGGTACTTGAGCTTCACACGACTGTCATGTACATAAAAACTGGCTACCACTAGTGTGAAAAAAACACCCCAACACCATACTAACAACTAACCATTAATCAACAATCCGTCGGATGGGAATTAAACCGGCGGCCCGAGTGAGAGTTGCACGATAAAAACTTCTATGGCTATTCGGAAAAGAGTGGGCGTGATAACGCCAGCCAAGTGGTTAGAGTATCATTAGGGAATATGTATTAAGTAATATTGGCGGACCTCTAAATACAACCACATATCGGAATTTACCTAGTTTTGAAACCCCTTTTTCTATCTCCCAGTGTCGACACCGGTCTTCTTGCTGAGTGGAGCTGAATGTTAGGCTAGGCATACAATTTAAACGGAGGTCGCCTTCTAAATGATAGTTTTTAGATAAGGTTAAGTAGCTTAGATGGCCCCTCTCTACCTTGTCTATATATATCCCACTCTCTCCCATCAATTATACGTTTCCCCGCCTACTCTTTTCGCTATCTTTTCTCATCCGCTGAAAGACCCATTAAAATAAGTAAGCAAGTATGAAAGTCTTTTGCATATTTTGAAGAATATTGACAAGTGGCGGATAAAAAGGCTTTATAGCTACTATGGTAGCTCCTGAGTAATGGGTTGCCTGCAAAGGCAACTCTGACAAGCCCAGTCCAGTGACCATACTTTGTTGTTGTTCTGGTAGGCAGATCACACACACACACACACACACACACACACAGAGAGAGAGAGAGAGAGAAAGCCCAGTCCAGTGACCATACTTTGTTGTTGTTCTGGTAGGCAGATCATACACACACACACACACACACACACAGAGAGAGAAAGTCCAGTCCAGTGACCATACTTTGTTGTTGTTCTGGTAGGAAGATCACACACACACACACACAGAGAGAGAGAGAGAGAGAGAGAGAGAGAGAGAGAGAGAGAGAGAGAGAGAGAGAGAGAGAGAGAGAGAGAGAGAGAGAGAGAGAGAGAGAGAGAGAGAGGGGGGGGGGGACTTCGACTAGTCCAGAACACGTGGTCGGTCGTTGGCCAGCACAGTGGTTGTGTCATTTGCTGCTTGTGACGGGTGATAGACTGTCTCTGCCTGTGAGTGGTTTCAGGGTACGTGGTGTAGTACAGCCCATTTCGAGTCTTGTGCTGCCCTGGCCAACTGGAGTGAAACAGAGAAAGGCTTGTACCTTGCCGTCTCGTTACGTGGCCAAGCACAAGGAGTGCAAGGTATGCTAGGTAACCTCCCAGGCGGACATGTTAAAAGGTATAAGGACTTAATTGCTGTCCATAGTGAACGATTTACACCGCCCATCCAGACATAACTCTACCGTGCCCAGCTACGACCAAAGGCTACAGTAAACTAACGCCAGAGCTTGGACAGAGTATAAGGAGATTGGCAAACCAGACGTATCCAACCGCTACCTTAGATATCATAGAAGTCCTATCAAGGGATCAATTGGTGCCTTGGTTACTCCGACATGAGGCTACGGATAAAGCAAGCTCGACCAGCGAGTCTTAATGAGGCAATTCGCCATGCTGTGGAATTGGAAGCATTTGTCAAAACCAAGCAGAAACCTAAGGAATCACAAGGGTTTCTCAGACCTACAGCTCAGACAGAGGATGTCGACACACAGAGTGGAAAAAATGAAAGCTCTGATGGAAGGAGACGCAGAAATCGCCGACAAGTCTAAAAATTCAGGTAGACGGTTTGGAGAAAAGTCAGAGCACGCGCCGGCAGGGGAGTAGTCGGACCACTAAAACTGTGGCAATTGCTTCAACTGCGATGAAAGTGGACAATATTGTAATAATACTACTTGTTGTTCTGTCTCTTGTGATCAAGCTATTGAGGATATCCCTTGTTCTCTCTCCTGTGATCAATATTATAATGTTGCTACTTGTTGTTCTGTCTCTTGTGATCAAGCTATTGAGGATACCCCTTGTTCTCCTCTCTCCTGTGATCAATATTGTAATGATAACCCTTGTTGATATGTCACCTGTATTTGATTTTGTGACAATACCACTTGTTCTCTGTTCTGCTGTGATTAATATTGTGATAATACAACTTGTTCCCCTGCCTTCTGTGATCAATATTGTGATGATACCATTATTCTGTCCCCTGTAATTAATATTGTGATAGTATAACTTGGTCTCTTGATTACCGTAACCAATATTGTGATAGTATAACTTGGTCTCTTGATTACCGTAACCAATATTGTGATAGTATAACTTGGTCTCTTGTTTACTGTAATCAATATTGTGATAGTATAACTTGGTCTCTTGTTTACTGTAATTAATATTGTGATAGTTTAACTTGTTCTCTTGTTTACTGTGATCAATCCTGTGATGATACAATTATTCTGTACCCTTTAATCAATATTGTGGTAGTATAACTTGTTCCCGTCTCCTGTGATCAATCCTGTATTGATACCGCGTCGTCCTTTCTGCGGTGATAAATATTTTGATAGATTACTTCTAAATACTTTAATAAAAGTACGAATGGATTTACCTCCAGTAGTTTTGAAATAGACAGGTTCACTGAAACACTGACTGAAATGAACACATGATCAACTAATGATCGAGAGCAGCAATTAAACCTTAAATTCTGAAGTCCCCTTCGTGACAGGTGACTGATGGTGGCACCCCTGCAGTTCTGCAAGAGGCAGGGAATAGTCTGCTGTATAACTCCATGGTCGTATATACGTAGATATCGACTAGAAGTGGACATGCAGAATATTTGTTTTCATTGAAGAGACTAAAACACCCTGAAACCAACTCCCATGACACCAATCAAAATTATTTTACTTTTGGTTGGGGGTGTCGGTTTTTTGGGAAAAAATAATCTGATGATACCGTTGCTTTGAAAACTGTTTGCTTGCGAACTGGCATCAGAAAAAAGCAGTTTGATATGATGGTAAAAGAAGGCTGAAGAACACAAAGAAATCATCCATATTTTTAATATAATGTTACATCGTATTTCCTTCTACGATAAACATTACTATTCAATAATATTTTAAAGGGATAGTTTAGTCTGTTTGTTTATATTTGCATTGTGTGACAATTTTTCCAAGTCCTTAGAGACATGCCTGTAGTCTGTTTCTCTTGGCGCTTTTGTTGCATATCGTCCAGTTTATAATTCAGTTGTAAAATATGTTGTATAACTAAAGTCTTCAGCAAACTCTTGTTGGTTGTAATGGAGGTGACTTTTACACTCAATGCATTGCTACCAGTTCGTATATTGCAAATTGCCAGCACATGGTCCAACATGTATAAAATAGGATATTTTTTATCTACCAGTCGAAACGGTTCTAAGTTCTCATCTTGAGTTTTATCAAATGTCTATAAGTATGCACATATTAATACCTAACTGCCAGTGCACTTGTTCGGCATGGCATTTCAATGTAGATTACGTATGTAAAATTTTATATGCATATTGTCATAGTTCTGTGTAATGATATTTGTAATGATAACGTGGACCATATTGCGTGGAGCAAAGCTACCGTTGATCATCTGATTTCATATCAACTAACCTTGGCATATAAGCTACGTAATATTCATGAATATGACATGTCGACACAGTTTGGTATCGATGCATTATATGAACAGTTAACCTTATGCATGGCAATATCAGCTGATGAAACTATCCCTAAACGACGTTTTAGGGAGTATCTTAAACCGTATTGGACAGGAGAGCTTGAAAGTGCTCACAATGCAGCACTGAGGTACCGACAGGTATGGATTAATGAAAACAGACCTCGTGGGCTACAATATGATTCATACAGGAACTATAAAAACGCAAAGAACGTCTTTCGGAACCTACATAGAGAAACACACGATAAATATTTAGATCAAGTTAATAGCGAGCTAGACGAGACAGCGGATGTGGATGCTAGATTATTCTGGAGAATTGTGCGGAAGCGTAAAAACAAAACACTCGATGCTTGCACGGAACTAGTCTACGAGGGAACACTTGCCCGTGACCCCCAAAGCATAGTCGAAACGTTTGCGGACTTTTACGAAAAATTATATGCAGATAACACGATCATCGATGACTGTAATTTGCAATTCGCAGTAAAGGACGATCTTGATATCAAGTTCACTTTTGAAGAAATCGTATCAGCTGTCAGGCAGATGAAACTTGGAAAAGCTCCTG